TCACTGGTTCCTTTGGTGAGGGCTACGGTACAGGTAGTACACACAGTGGAGGAACACTTCGTTGTGGAAACATTTACTTCTGTAAAAGTCAAGGCTTCTATGTAATCTTGTAGATAGGTAAAGAAGGAATGAAAATGGAACACAAGAGAAATGGGAAGCTAAGGTAATTTTACTCAAATCATTGGAATCTAAACAGAAGGTATTATAGTACAAAAAAGGAAAAGATCGAGCTACTGAAAGATAATTTCTGCAAAGCACAAAGTGTGTTTTGTCAAAACACTTAGCCTTAAATATTTACAGGCTCAGATGAGCCGCAGCATATCACCACATCTGCCCTTGACTGACCGTTACAAATACCCACAGTTGTATAAACTAGTTGTTGACCTTTCTATTGAAGACTAAGAATAACATACCTGCATTGGACTGCCACCCCAACGTTGCGGTAGAGGTTGTAACAGTCTTCGCACACGAGGTCGAGAGTTCCGAGAAGTTCGCGTGCAAGAACTGAATACGGTGCGTTTGGTTAAGCTTTGATCACCTGTGAGGAAATCGCCGGGCGAGGAAAAAATTAACGTCGGTATTTCATTTATGTTTTCAATCGTGACAGAGGCCGAAACTGCCGCCGTCAGGGACACCAGAACTAACTGCATCTGTTGAAAAAGAGAGAAGAGTTAACTTTAACAGAGAATTTGTTTCCAAGCAATATCAATTTCTATAATCAAGAAACATTATGGACCTTCATAACCAAATTATTAGTATGATTTGATTAAGATTTCGATGGTTTGGAAAGGAAAGCGCAACTGGTTTGTTTCTTGTTTCTTTCCTGTTTCTCAATGCTCTCGAATCTATTAGTTCTACTCGTAAGGAACTGCCGGACTTTGGAGTTTGATTGATAATGTAAGCACCGATGAGATTCGGAATATCAGTAATGAACATAAATAAAAACTTTCGGAAATGCCATGCGAAAAGAACAAAAAAAAAGATCCACAGCTTAAGCTCTACACTTTTCAGAGACGTTACAACCGCCTGCTGGTTCTTAAACCTCCTTTACCAGTTGGACCGCAACTATTTCGCTGGACTCGACACAGATCAGCAGGAACAAGAACCACCGACTTCGAGGCTCTCCCTCTGCACTGACTCAGAAACAAGTGAACATCGCCTTATAAGCAGCCGTTGGTGTTCGAGAAAAGTATGAGCGAAGGTAATGACTACAGGCCTTCGCTAGACGCCTTGTTTTAACCCAATATCTGTGGGTTTATGTACTGTCTCCTTTAGATTTTTGTGAGTTTTGTTACATACAGATGGCTCCAAGTGTGTTCAGTGACCAAGGAGTTTATCAGTTGGCTCTAGTAACCGCGTCTGATTTCTTCATTCCTTGAATTTGCGGGAAAATGTGTTTTTCTTTCTAATACTATTGATATTGACACTGTTATCCTTCTCATTGTTATTATGATTATTAAATCATTAAGATATTAATAACATCAAAGACAGCATAATAATAGAAAGGAAGCTTTCAGAAAATTAAGGAAAAGGGTAAAGATAGGTAAGACAAATAGCTGACCCCTTGGTGTGTAAACTTATATGTATGTGTGTGTGTGTGTGTATAAATACATACATATATATGTATATATATAAATATATGTATTTGTGTGTGTGTGGGTGTGTGTGTATATATATATGTGTATACATATACATGATATATGTATTTATGCATTTATGTCTGTGTATATATGTATATATATATGTGTGTGTGTGTGTGTGTGTGTGTATATGTACATATATATGTGATACATATGATATGTGTATATATGTATGCGTGTGTGTGTATATGTATGAGTGTGTGGGTTTGTTTGTGTGTGTGGGTATGTGTATGTGTGTTTGTTTTTGTGTGTGGGTATGTGTGTGTGTGTGTGAGTATGTGTGTGTGCATATACATACACATATACATATACATACATATTTATATATATATACACACTCATCTATCTATCTATCTATCTATATATATATATATATACACATATATATATATATATATATTTATATATATATATATATATATATATATATATATATATACATATATATGTATGTATACAAACAGACGCACCCCCCCACACACACACATACCTCCAAATATATTATATACATGTATATATGCATATACAAATACACACATACACACACACACACACACACACACACACACACACACACACACACACACATATATATATATATATATATATATATATATATAATGTATGTAAGTATATATATATACACACACAGTCTGTCGTTGTATACAACTTCATTCTGGCAGTTCCTGCTACGGCACTAGTGCCAAACTGAAACAGCAGTTCCTTTGTATCCACCAGTGACGGGGATGTGCTGTACAGGCAACAGCTTTCCTCCATATCAAACGCCCATGCTTACATCCAACAGTACAACTCAACACTCACTCATCAACATAACTTACATCCTACACTTGGAGAGGACACTCCAGCTTCGCCCGCGGCGTTTGCATAACACGGTGAACATCTGTCTATCGGTTTTAAGACACTAGTTAAATAGGAGTAGTTCCGCCACAGCTGCTTTCCTCACTGGATGCATGGGGATTAAGATACATTCATCGCACCAAACAAAGTCAGAAAACAACAAAAGAGCCCATCTCTAAAACTGGGAACTTGGAATGTCCGGATAAGGATGCCCAGCACCTATGAAACCCTTCATAGATACTTCATCAGTGACTCTGGGAAAACACCATTGAAGGCCCCATAACCCCTGTCAGCGTATACGCTCCGACATTGTCTACTGCATCAGATGCAAAGGATGAGTTCTACAGGAAACTCGCATCCATCATCATAGACATCCCCAGCAAGTAACCACTTGTCCTCCTAGGTGACTTCAACGCCAGAGTGAGTGCAGATCATGAATCGTGGCCCTCTTGCCTTGGACATTTTGGAGTGACCAGTATGAATGAGAATGGTCAACGATTGCTTGAGCTTTGTAGCTATTGCAAACTATGCATTGCCATCTCTTATTTTAGGACTAAGCTCCTGCACATGGTCTAGAGACAACCACAATCTAAGAATTGGCATCAGTTGGATCTCATCCTGGTCAGGCGTCCTGCAATCAAGAACGTTCTCCACACACAATCTTACCACAGTGCGGACTGCAAGATCAAGCTACAGCCAAAGAGATTCCATTACTCCAAGAAACCCCGCATTGATACTAACGAGATGTCACAAATGAACCTTGTACAGCAGCTTGCAGAGACCCTTGAGCATGATCTGCATTTTTCACAGCCTGGAAGTGAGAAGCACGAGATATCATATATTGACATCCAAGTCTCATGATTGGTTTGAGGCGAAGACCACCGAGATGATTCTCGTTATCCAACCCAACCGCACAGCCCTTGCCGAGTATAAGTGTTCACCCAGCGAGAAGAACTTGCAGATTCTCAGGGCTGCCAGAGCAAGGCTCAACAGACTATCAGATATTGCACCAATGAATATTGGACAGAGCTGAGCGAAAGCCTCTAGACAGCTGCTATCTCGGGCAACATCAGAGAGATGTACGATGGCATCAAGAAGGCAGTTGGACCAATCCAGAGAATGGCAGTTCCCCTCAAATCTTCCACCAGGGAAGCTGGGAGTATCGTTAACTGTAGAGGAGTTCAGCAAAGCTATTGACAGATAAATCCCCAGGCAGCGACGGTATTCCTCCAGACCTGATAAAGCACTGAAAGACTAAGAGATCAACTGTAGACATGGTCTTCTTCCTTCGCCAACTCTATAAGTGTATAGACTTCACCAAGGCCTTAGACTTCGTCAGCAGAGATAGGCTGCCCATCAAAGCTGCAGAGCATGATCGAGTCATTCCACGCCAACATGAACAGGACAGTACAGGAGTTTCTCTGATCCCTTCAGTATCTGCAGTTATGCCAAGTAAGGTTGCATCCTTGCCCCCACACTATATATGTAAACATATCATATCTATCTATCCATATATATATATATATATATATATATATATATATATATATATATATATATATATATATATATATATATATATATATATATATATATATATATATATATATATATATATATATATATATATATGCATATATATACACAGACACACGCATACATATATATGTGCGTGTGTGTATAGAGGAGTGTATCTGTATTTATAGATATACATATAGATATAGATATATGTGTATGTATATGTGTGTGTGTGTGCTCTCATATGACACCCTATATGTAAACACACTCCTACTATTTAGACCTCTTGCTCACTGTGATCATATATATAACACTATTAGTATATCACACGTCTTATGCAATAGTATTATTTCACATATACAAGGTCTTCCACTCAGCACAATTGCTGACTACGGGTGTCACACCCTTAGTCCTTCCGCATAAGTGACGTCGCTGTTTACTCCTCTCACTTCCACTTTCTAGTACGAAGCAATCCTTTGCCGATTTCCTATACAATCTTGTATAAAAGAGGACCGCCTGTAAGCAACAGACAGACAGCCTATAGGACTCTGACCGGACTGAATCTCTACCCAAGATTGATGCATTCTGCCAGACTTTACCTTGTCTGTGAAAAGTAGGTAGCAGACGCAAACTAACAAGCATCTACCACAAGAGAGAAAAGAAAGAATATGAAGAAACAAGAAAATCAAGCTATATCGTGTGTTTCCACCTGACACACCGCCGGGCGAGTCGCTGACAACGCCCTTCTCCAGCACTTGCCAAGCACGCAAATTAATAATACAAGATAAAATGATAATGATAATAATAAATAAATGAAAAAGTCGTGTGTGCCTAAAGTTATTCGCCCATCGAAGGATTTATTTACTCAATCGTGCCTAACCGTGAGCCGCAGTATGTGAATCCGGAACACCTGACCCCCTACCTCCTCGTGCTGACAACTCACACCAGCCCTGTTACCAGCCTCGCTACCAAAATTATATGTCACAAAGGTTAATCAGAGAATTTTGTTAAGGCGCACTTTTTTTTCTTTTTTGTTTGAATATTTAGCAACGGTTAGGTATATTTTATGATTCATTGCCTTAGTCTCCCCACGGGACAAAAAACGGCTCTGCTCCTTCTCTCGTGCTCATTCACTCCTCCCCGCCACTCCCCACTTACTTTCATTCAATGATTTCCATTCCTGAATTTTTCTCTCGCTTCACAACTAATTACATTGCATTGTACAATATCGAAGTCTGACTGATGCCACATTCGTAGAAAACACAAAAATACACGAACATGTACAATCAAATGCACGAACTCATGACACCACACTTTCCTCACTCCCCTCCCCTCCCATGTCGTTCCCTCCCCCCTGTTTATTTCCGTTTTTCCAGACCTTTCCCACACAGAAATTAAACAAGTGTTCTATATATATGAACACTTCACATCATTGCTTACTGACACTGAACATTGTGCCTCCTACACACACCGCAACATGACCTTCCCGCTGTTTCAGCACAAATGTATAGAAGCCGAGATCCAAGCACTGACCTCAGCATATTTGACATTGATGGTCTATTCAAGGATATTGGTTATTACTTTCACAATAACCCTCACAGGTATCGTATGTCTTTGTAAGTTTTGTTGTCGACGTCCCTGTCGCACATGATGACCTCGTCACAGTTACCGTACAGTGTATTTGTGTATTTGATCTCAGTCCTCCAAGTAAAGTATGTTGTCCTCT